CCACCATGCCCAGCTAATTTTTGTATTTTTAGTAGAGACGGGGTTTCACCATGTTGACCAGGATGGTCTCAATCTCTTGACCTCGTGATCCACCCACCTCGGCCTCCCAAAGTGCTGGGATTACAGGCGTGAGCCACTGCACCCGGCCTAATTTTTGTATTTTTAGTAGAGACGGTGTTTCACCTTGTTGACCAGGATGGTTTCGATCTCTTGACCTCGCAATCCACCAGCCTCAGCCTCCCAAAGTGCTGGATTATAGGCATGAGCCACCGCACCCAGCCTTTTTTTTTTTCTAATAAAGATGGGGTTTCACCCTGATGGCCAGGATGGTCTTGAACTCCTGACCTCAGGTGATTCATCCACCTCGGCCTCCCAAAGTGCTAGGATTAGAGGTGTGAGCCACCACACCTTTCTTTTTTGAGATGGCGTCTCACTGTGTCACCAGGCTGGAGTGCAGTGACATGATCTCGGCTCACTGCAACCGCCGCCTCTTGGGTTCAAGTGATTCTCTTGCCTCAGCCTCCCAAGTAGCTGGGACTACAGGCACCTGCCACCACACCAGGCCAATTTTTGTAGTTTAACTAGAGACGGGATTTCACCATATTGGCCAGGCTGGTCCGGAACTCCTGATCTCAAGTGATCCGCCTGCCCACCTTGGCCTCTCAAAGTGCTGGGATTACAGGCGTGAGCCACTGTGCCTGCCTAGACCATTTAGTTTTGTTCTGTTTTCAGCCTTGTATGAGGATTTTTCAACCATGTTCTCTAGATTATTACTAGATTAGTACAGACATTCTGAATAGTAAGGACTCAAATGATAATGGGGAGTAGGACTAAAATCCATTTTTTACCAAAGCATTCAAGAAAAAAATGATCCTGTATATTTTCATGTCTACCATATAATATATATTATATACTGTAAAAGGTAAAGGATATTAAAGGAGAAACCTAGTATAATTTAAGAAGAATCTTATCAAATTATTTTTTTGAGATGGAGTCTCGCTCTGTCACTCAGGCTGGAGTACAGTGACACAGTCTCGGCCCACGGCAACCTCTGCCTCCTGTGTTCAAGTGATTTTCATGCCTCAGCCTCCCGAGTAGCTGGGACTACAGGCATGCACCACACACCAGGCTGATTTTTGTATTTTTAGTAGAGTCGGGGTTTCACCATGTTGCCCAGGCTGGTCTCAAACTTCTGACCTCAGGTGATCCACCTGCCTCAGCCTCCCAAAGTGCTGGGATTACAGACATGAGCCACCACACCTGGCCTTATCTAATTTTAAAACCTTGCTAGGATGTATCTATTTGTAAAGAAACTTAAGCCATAGGTTTGAAAGCAAAGTTTGCAGTCTAAACAGATTGCCTCTACTTTTCTGTGTTTGTGAGCTTGTAAGCTCTCTTGGCCATGAAGAAACACTAGATAAAAGGAAGAGACTTTGTCTGGGTGACATGCAAGGCAACATCTCTTTCCCCCAAAGATGTTGCTCCTGGCTGCCATCTCCTAAGGTGTGTGCTTTTCTAGTTTCATTGGCTCTGTGCGCATCCAACTTACAGAAGCCATCTCTTAGCAGGACCAGCAGGGACCTTCCCACAGTCACCTCTGTGGATACCTGTGCTGAGCCAACCAGCCTGAGAACCCACGCCTAGGGCTTTCTGCAGCCCAGCTTCTATCTCAGCGTCCTGCACAAAGCTGCATACCAGTTAGTCTGTCTCCCTCCACCAGGCCAGGGACACATACTCATGCAGAACACAGCTCTGACAAGGTCATGCCAGGCATGACAATTCAGGGCAGTCAGGAAGGGACTGGATGCAGCAGGCAGGAGCTTTAAGCCTGAATACAGGCCTTTGTGACACATCTATGTAGAATGTCAATTTCAGATTCTTTCCAGGTTTTTCTGATGCCGTTGAAAATGGTATTGATCCATTTTTCACTTACTGTATGATTACTGATAAGATTATAAGTCCAAAAAACATCTCCCTTGAGTCTCTCAGACAGGCAGACTGAGGCAGCTTCCCCTTGACATAGGAAGGCTCTAATGTTACATTTCGGCTTTAATTAGCAGCGGTGTAATGGAGACTGGGAATGCTGTTGTGGAAATGCTAAATACTCTGGCTGTCAGTAGAGCAACAGTTAGAACTGCCCTGTTGCCTGCAGATGTGCAGGTGAGCTGTGCAGGGATGGGGACTCTCCCTTGCTGGCTGGGTCCCAGCTGTGGGACTCATCGGTAGACCTTTGCCCTTCATTTAGGGCAGGGTAACTGAATCTTTTGTCTCAGGAATTGCACATCCAGAAGAAAAATAACCGTTCTCTTTTAAAATTTAAAACATCGGCCATATTGCTTTACTCCTCAAAATAACTGCAGCTGATGCCTGAGTGCTTGTCATCTGTCAGGCATTACCTAATGATGTGCATGCATGGTTTCATTTAATCCTTTTTTTACTTTATTTCATTTTATTTTATCCTATGATTTAACACTTGGATTTGTAAAGGACTAAGGATGGAATTTAAAATCTTCCTAATGCATGTTGTAGTCTGTTAAGGGAGAAGGAGGAAGGAGGGAGTGAATGAGACTGCAGGGTGGGGGAGGGGAGTTGGGGGACTCTGGGAGCCTCTCACCTGGCAGCAGGCCTTTGGCGCACACGGGAGAGCCCGGAGCACCTGCTCAGGAACCCGGGGCACATGATCACAGCCTCTGCAACTGCTGCCACTGCCTCACAAGTTTCTGCTTGGCGTGAGCTTGGCCTTCAGCGCTTGTCGGGGTAGGCTTATTTTCTAGGCTGAGAGATAATGGCCAGAACATTTCCCTAGATCCTAGACAGGTGTCATTAGGCCGGGACTGGATCAGGGTAGATAAGGCGCGCTGTTTCCTCATTTCAGAGTTTTAGGAAATAGAGAAAATGATAGGTTCTGCGTGTTTTATACATAGATGTATTTCACCAGGGAACATAAAATTCACGCGTTATAAAAGTGAAATCAGAATGATGAAGACAGATTAAGGGTCTGTAATCACAAACTCTCCAATCTGCATTCCCTTAGCACCTGCTGAGCCTGGAGCGTGACCTCTTTTCCCCACCATCCCTGATTTCCTTGCTTTCCTTTTTTGTGGCCTGGCTGCCCTTAATGGCCTTATTCCTAAATTAGCCTAACATCTGAGCAGAAGTGGGCGTCCATAGCACTATTGAGTTAGCCCAGTGTCCCCTATCCAGGGTGGGGTGGGAGTGGGCATCTGTAGCACTACTGAGTTAGCCCAGTGTTCCCACATCCAGGGCAGGAGCAGCAGTGGGCGTCCATAGCACTACTGAGTTAGCCCAGTGTTCCCCCATCCAGGGTGGGAGCGGGAGTGGGCATTCACTGAGCCCAACATAGGGTTGTTGCTTAGCAGTGCAGGCAGAGCCCATTGTTGTATTGCTGCTAGGTGGGGCTGGGTTCTGTAGAGACTGCCAGCCAGGCCTATGCACCTCAGGAGCCCAGGCATAGAGGGTAGGTGGAGGGCAGAGACCAGTGGAGTGAGCAACCTAGATTGGATCCCGGCCAAGGCCTTGCTCCTGTGCCATGCTTCTCTGCATGTGTGGTTGAATCTAGATTTAGGTGTCTAAAATAGGAAGAGAAGTGAGAGAGACAGTTAAACAGGTAGCAAATATTATTTGGATTAAGTGATCATAGTTTTATTTGCAAAAAGACGTTGAAGTGTAAGTTTATAGAATGCCAAATAAGAATGAATTGTACTTGCTGAACCTGTGTTCTGGGTCGATGCTGAGCTGGGTGTCCCTGAACTGAAGAATTTTGAAACGTGTTTTAAAAGCAGGAGTTTTGTCATACCTGCCAAGACATGTAGATGCAGTACAATTTTTACATATAAACTGTGGTCTTTAATTATTTATTTTGAGATGGAATCTCGCTCTGTTGCCCAGGCTGGAGTGCAGTGGCGCAATTTGGTTCACTGCAGCCTCCTGGGTTCAAGTGATTCTCCTGCCTCAGTCTCCCAAAATAGCTGGGATTACAGGTGCCCACCACCATGCTTGGCTAATTTTTGTATTTTTAGTAGAGACAGAGTTTCACCGTATTGGTCAAGCTGGTCACAAACTCCTGACTTAATGATCTGCCCGCCTTGGCCTCCCAAAATGCTAGGATTACAGGCCAGTCAACAATGGTCTTTATTTCTTGGTACTTTATTTCAAAGAAAATCGTGTGAATTAAAGTACCTTTGGTTTGATTTCTGGAGCTCAGTCATTTGTACAAAAGTATCTTTTGTCCAGGACGTTCTTTATTTTTAGTTATATCTTCCTCAGATAGTTCAGCAACCAGTTATGATTCACATTGCTACAATGAGGATTTTTGAAAATTTCAGGGTGTGTGCTTGTGAATATTTTTAGCTGGAGGAAAGTTGTGAGTCATTCAAAAGAAATCTAGATGACAACCTGAGAAACAATATACTGAACACTTTCTAACCTAAAAAATAATCTGTTTTCTTGTAAGGAAAAGTGTAAATAGTGCCTTAAGCTTTTTGATTATTCACCCTGCAGTTTCTTTTCTGATTCTGGGATGCTTGTGAGAACTTCAGCATCTAGGAACATGTGCGCTGCTGCTTGGCCATAGAGTAGCAGGTAGTTCTATTTTAGTTAATAAAAACTTATTTCAGAAGACTGAGAACATTTTGACACCCTGAGGATTTCAAAAGACATCTTAAAAAGAGTTCTGAATTTCTTTCACTGTTTCTTGGAAAGTGCTCCTGTTTCACTAGTCAGTCAGTTGAGGGTTTCTCCAGTCCTTTTTCAGGATACACCAGGGGACTAGATATTATAGAAGTGCCCCAGGCTTACAACTATGGAAATACTTGTTTCCTCTCTTTAAAAAGTAAAAACACTACTGCTGGCCGTGTTTCCTTAGAGCATTGATGGTGACCTGGGTTCAGTCGCATGTAGGTGGCTCAGGTTGACTAAGACAGGACTGCCCTGGATTTCTGCCCATTAAACGCTCTGCATTTCTTTCCCACCCTCTGCAGTATGGTTTGAAGTGGTGAACATGGATTTTTCTCGGCTTCACATGTACAGTCCTCCCCAGTGTGTGCCAGAGAACACGGGCTACACGTATGCACTCAGGTGAGTGTGCGCCTCCACATGGGGTCCTGGCCCTGCAATACCCACTCGCTTTTGCTGTGGCATGGAACATCACAGGAACTTGATAGTACTACCGACTACATGTGATATTTTGAAGGTGAAAGGAAAAGATAAACTTTATTTTATGGCTTTAGAGCTCTTTTTGAAAGCTGTTTCCAAATTTGTTTGTCCTGGTGACTGTGTGGTTAGTCATCGCAGATGGCTTGACGGCTTCGACCCCACCCAGGTGGTTTTGATCTTGAGAAGTCCCAGTGGTTATAGCTAGTGTTTGATGTCTATCAATGGCATGGTATTTTTAAGTTAACAGAAATAACCTGGAATATTATTTGCCACTTGAAAGGAAGCATCTCCTAGAACAGTGTTGAAGTTCAGGATTTCAAGAACATGACTTTTGTCTGAGGCTGTTTTCTGCTTTTATTCATATTCTGATCCACTGAACCGAGATTTTTGAGTCTGAAGACTTGCTGCCCTGCCCCTCATGTTTTCAGTTTACCAGATAGAAAAGGTGACTGAAACGAAGCTTGTGTTTCATGAAATTATGGGTTAGTGCCAAAGGAAAATACACAACTAGACAGGCCAGGATTTGATCAGCAGGTTGATAAGCTTGTGTACCCAAGCAGATGTTTAAGGCACCAGAAAAATGCTTGTGTAATTTTTTCAGTGGCTTATCTTTTTTTTTTTTTTTTTTTTTTTTTTTTTTTCTTGGAGACAGAGTCTTACTCCGTCACCCAGGCTGGAGTGCAGTGGTGCAGTCTTGGTTCACTGCAACCTCCGCCTCCCAGGTTGAAGCAATTCTCCAGCCTGAGCTTCTGGAGTAGCTAGGATTACAGACGTGCACCACCACACCTAGTAGCTCTTGTATTTTTAGTAGAGACAAGGTTTCACCGTGTTGGCCAGGTTGATCTCAAACTCCCAACCTCAAATGATCCGCCGGACTCAGCCTCTCAAAGTGCTGGGATCACAGACATGAACCACCGTGCCCAACCTCAGTGTCTTATCTTCTAAAGGGTGAAAATGTAATTGAAACTAAGAAAATTAGAAAATATTTTAAGAAAAATGCTTCTTTCCAGGATTAGTCAGCTCTTAAATTTGATGATTGAGTTTTTAATTCACAATTCTAGGTCATATCACACTTCCATAGCAACACATTCTGTTTTGTAAGAGTCCTGTAGTGGTTAAATGGGTAGGCCAGCTCTGGGGAGACTGCTCCCTCCTCCAGATTGTGCAGTATGGAACATGATTCCTAGTCATTTATTTTTGCTTTTCTTACCTATTTTAAATAGTGTTTTAAAAATGCCTATATCTGGCCAGGCACAGTGGCTCATGCCTGTTATCCCAGGACTTTGGGGGCTATCACAGGGTCAGGAGTTCAAGACCAGACTGACCAATATGATGAAACCCCATCTCTACTAAAAATGCGAAAATTATCCGGGTGTGGTGGTGCGTGCCTGTAGTCCCAGCTACTTGGGAGGCTGAGGCAGGAGAATTGCTTGAACTGTGAGGCAGAGGTTGAAGTGAGCCAAGATTGCACCACTGCACTCCAGCTTGGGCGAGTGAGGGAGATTCAATCTCAAAAAAATAAATAAAATTTGTTTTCTCTTCTGGAAAATGACAAACGATGCAGGTTGAAAGAACAATGACAAGCCCACTTGCTGGCCACTGGCCTCGACAGTGATGCGTGCAGGTCTCTGCTCCCACCCAGCACTGTGGAGCCTCCGCGACCAGTGCCTCAGTTCACAAGGGTTCCCCAGCCACTGTCTTGCTGCACCAGTGGCCTGGCACACTCCCCTTCAGGATAGGGTGGGCCCCAACACTTTCACGTTCTCCTGGAACTCCACTGGACTATTTAAAGCCAGTCTCTAAAAGATAATGATATATTTTAAATAACCCAAATACCAATATCATCCCAGTAATTTAAAAGGGCTTCTTAATATATTTAGTCAGTGTTCCAGTATCCCAGATTCTTGAATTTTCTTTTTCACAATTAATTTTTTTTAAATGAACTTAAACAGGATATCATGTTACATTGGGTGATTTCTCTCTTAAGTCTCAATCTGTAGTTCTTGTAAGCTGGTAGTTAAGTCTGGAAGTCTGGTCATCTTTTGGTTTATTTCTTTATTGGCGTGACTCTGTGACAGATGGAATGTAGCTCCCTGTCACCATCCTGAGTCCATGCTGTTTGGCGTGTCACCTCTGGTAGCGTTGAGGCTGATTGATGTTGTCAGCTCGACCCACCCACAGTAAAATCCAGCCATTGGCGATGGTTGCCTTGAGCTTCAGGGTCAGAGGATGTTTTCCGGGGCCCTTGGACCTGAGGTGCCACTGCCCATGCTCTGATCCAGGGGCACTGGAGACATGAGGGTCTTACCGTCCAGCCTCTCGTGGAAGTATTGGCTGTGGAAGCCGGAAGAGAGAGTTTCCAGAAGGAGGGACTTGTCAGCCAAGGCAGATGCTGCTGGATGGTCAGGAAGATGGGGTGAATCAGCCATGGAGGCCGGAGGGTGCTCCAGAGATGAGCTGGTGCTCCAACCAGTCGGCTGCTGGGGGAGGTGGAGAGGTGTGGCTTTGAGTGGAATTTGTTTTTTACCATGGGGTGAGCCAAGGGTGTGTCTAGATGCTGGTGGTCAGGAGCCAGTAGAGAGAAGCCGAAGATACAGGAGAACAAGGAAAGGCCTCCTACAGAGAGAGAAGAGGGCAGGAGAAACTCCATCCAGAGTACACAGGCTTGGCTTGGGACTCCTCTTCCATTGCGGCAGGCAGAAAGGGTGCTCAGGGTAGAACATGAGTAAATGTATGAGTGCAAGCGTAGGAAGAGGTTGATTATGCAGAATTGGTTCACGCTGATGGAGGCTGGCAAGGCCCAAGATCTTCAGGTTGAGTTGGCAAGGGGAGACTCTGAACAGCCGATAGTGTAAGTTCCAGGCCAAGTCCAGGGGCGCAGTACCCAATAGAACCACAGTATAGTTCTAGTTTGAGGGTCATCTGGCTCAAGGCCCTGGAAAAGCTGATGTTTTAAGTTTGACTCTGAAGGCAGGAAGTAGCTGGTGTTCCCGCTTCAGGCTGTCCAACAGGAGGAGCTCCTTCTTACTAAAGCCTTCTTGTTGTGTCCAGGCCTTCAGTGGATTGGAGGGCAGTCTGCTTTCCCAGTGTTTTGATTTTGATTTGAATGTTACTGTCATCCAGAAGCACCCTCACAGGTACTTTCAGAATAATGTTTGAGCAAACATCTGGGTGCCCAAGGCCCAGTCAAGTTGACACATAAGATTAACCCCTGCAGAGGGAAAGGATGGGCATGATTGAAGGGGATCAGGTTTTACTGGGAAGAAAAATGCAGGACCTTCCCGACACAGACCAGGAGGTGGAGGGAAAGAGATGGTGGCCTCAGACATGCGGTGCATGGAGGAAGTCTGAGAGGGCCACTGAGGGCCGGGTGCAGATGGCCCCAACACATGGATGGCCCGAGGACCTGTGGACCTCGGATGAAGACACACTGGCACCTGCATCATGAGGAACTTGAAAGAAAGTGTTGGGGTCCATCCTGTCCCAGCAGGGAAAGTGCCAGGCCTTGAGAGAGCATTGGGGCCCACCCCGTCCTGGCAGGGTGAGTGCCAGCCCGCTGGTACAGCAGGACAGCGGGCTGGGGAACCCTTGTGAGCTGAAGCCCTGGTCACGAGGCTCTGAAGTGCTGGGGTGAGTGGGGGTCTGCGGTTGGAGTCAGTGTCAGGGGCAGCTATCACCCTTCCGTGATCAATGATCTGAACTGTAGAAGTCTGAGACCTCTTTCGGTCCAACACACCTGAGCTGAGCTAACCTGGCATGCCTTCGTTGGGCAGGTGCTGTGGGTCCAGGGGATGCTTGGTACCTGTTTGTCTCTGGTTTGCAATTGGAGTCAATTTTCTTCAATCTTTTGTTACAGAGTACATCTAAATAGCACATGTTTAAAAGAACAATGCATAACTAATGAGAGAAAAACATTAACACCTCATGCTCTTGAGAGTGAGATCTCTAAGTTATCTTCGGGGTCTTCTTCAGTCTTTTTTCCTTGTTCTGTCACTTAATTCTCTCTAATCCTGTACTGAACACCTTAGTTTGAAATTTTGTGTTCCCCCAAACACTGTAGAAAAGGTAATAAAGTGCTTTAATATGACAGCCTACTGATTTGCATTGCATCCTGGGTCAGTGCTGGGCCAGCATTCATGTCTTCCTCTCCATCAGCCACTGGTGTCCTCCTTCAGGGTTCTGGGTACACCTGTCTCTAGGAACCATGTATGGATGGCATCTAGGTTCACAGTCTTGGCCTGCCAGCAGAGGTGGCTTGTTAACTTCCTGAACTGCACCTGAGCTGTGGTGCTGATGGAATTGTGGGTGCTGGGGTTGGAAGGGACCCCAAGAGGTCACCTAATGCCACAGATGAGGGGACCGGAAGGGACCCCAAGAGGTCATTCTGATGCTGTGGATGAGGGGGGCCAGAAGAGACCCTGAGCGGTCACCTAATCTGGATTAGGGGCTGGAAGGGACCCCGAGAGGTCACCTGGTGCCACAAATGAGGGGGGCCAGAAGGGACTGAGACGTCACTTGATGTTGCAGATGAGGGGGCTGGAAGGGACCCCACGAGGTCATTTTGATGCTGTGGATGAGGGAGGCCAGAAGAGATCCTCAGAGGTCACCTAATGTGGATGAGAGGGGCTGGAAGGGACCCCGAGAGGTCACCTGATACCACGGATAAGGCAGGCCAGGAGGGACCCCCAAGAGGTCACCTGATACCTTGGATGAGCAGGGCCGGAGGGGACTGAGAGGTCACCTGATGTTGTTAATGAGGGGGCAGGCAGGGACCCCCAAGCTTACGTGATGTTGCGGATGAGCAGCTGAGACCCAGGAGCTGTCCTGACTTGGGTGCCTCCTTTCTGCTGGGATTTGAAATTTTGGTCTTTGAAGTCAAAGCCCCAAATTCCTGGTCCCTCCTCCCTTTCTTCCTTCCCCTTGTCTCCTCCCTCCCCGACTTTGAAACATGGCTGCCTTACCTTGATGATGAGTCCAGTGCCGTGCAGCTCCGGGTAAAGGCCCCCTAACTGGCCATGGTAGCCAGTGTGAAGAGCCTCTCATGCTTTTACGTGTCTGCATGTGGATGGGTACTTGGTGGCATTTTGTTGTTTATTTTAAATAGATAGTTCGGTGCCAGGTTTTCGTGTTGAACAGTGCACCCAGAAGTCTTTCTGTGACCACGTGCAGGTCCTCTGTTTCCTTGTGGCCCTGCAGCGTGTATAGAGGGATGTGCCCTGGTGTGCCCATTCCCCTGTGGGTGGCATCCCCATGTCTCTCTGCTGTGATAGCGCTGCTGTGAGTGTCCCTCCATACAGCTTCGTCACCTGCACCTTTCTACCCAAACCAGCAAGCGTTCCTGGTTTGTGTTGGAAAGCAGGGATCCCATCTGAACTTCAAACCCAGTAGTTAGATTTGAGGCTGAGGGTGGTGGTGGGAGGGTAGAATTTGAAGAGGTCAACAGATGAATGGAAAGTAGTGATTATATTGGTCCATACCTACATGACAGATTCTGATTTGGAATAAGATAGTTTTCTTAAACTAGAATCACAATTATGTAAAATACTCTGCTAGAAGCAAACTAACCCTCCTTTAGATGACACTGGAATTGTGTCTAGCTTTGTACCCATGGTCAGCATTCAACATAGCCCAGTGCAGTCTCTTTCTTGTCCCCACCTCAACCTCTAAGTGAAAGAAGAACCTCTTTCTTAAATTGCGTGTGGAGACTTGAAACAGTTTGTATTAACTTACTGTTGGTCATGAACATCTGACAGGGTCTTGCTCTGTTGCCCAGACTGGAGCACAGGGGTGCAGTAATAGCTCACTGCATGCAGCCTCAAACTCCTAGGCTCAAGCCATCCTCCTGCCTAAGCCTCCCAAAGGGCTAGGATTGCAGATGTCAACCACCTTGCCTGGCTTATCTGTTTATTCAGTTAAATTAATTGAATAATTATATGGAAGGTTTTGGAAGTGACTTTTTTGGTCACAGGCTCAAAGCAGTTTTTGAATTTGTCTCAAGGTGTGGGTTTAGACAAATTCTAAGTTTAGAAGGGGAGTGTTGATGGCTCGGTCACTTGGTTTCCTCTCTTAGGTGGATTCGTTCTAAAATGCGCTGGTATATTGGATTAAATCTCATGTCCTAACTGCGTATCAGCATTGTGTTTACTAGAAAACATGCTCTGATGTGTTTATATCAAGTGGGGACACGCCCTCAGGCAGTTCTTAGGGTGAGTTGTAGATTCTGTACCTCAGCATCTGGGAAGTGTGCTGTCCTTCATCTGATGTGAAGCAAGAGTGGCTGGGGCAGATGTTGGGAGCTGATGTTGGCTGATCTCTGTGCCACTGTACATTTGCTTTAGAGTGAAGTTGTCACATAGTCATAGTTGCTCTTGAAAATTCACAGTATGTTGCACTTTCAGTTTATTATTTGTTCATTTTGTTTTAGAATGGGGGCTGTAAGCACTGCTTATCTCTGATGAGTTTTTTCCTTCTAGTTCCAGTTATTCTTCGGATGCTCTGGATTTTGAGACCGAGCACAAATTGGACCCTGTATTTGATTCTCCACGGATGTCCCGCCGTAGTTTGCGCCTGGCTGCGACTGCAGGCACCCCGGGGGATGGCCGGGCTGCGAGTGCCGATGGCTGTGCCAACAACATCATCTCCCTAAAGAACAGAGCAGCCAAGTAAGCACCACTGCAGTTCCTCTTTGCCTGATCTCTAACACCAGTTAAAACCAAGCTTCCATATTTTTTGTTCTGTAAAGCCACACCCTCTCTCTTGAGCTTAAGGGTGTGTATGTGTGTGTGTGTATGTACAGACACAAACCCGCCATATAAAGTGGTAGTTTGGCTGTAAATAAAGACTGAGGCCAGGCGCGGTGGCTCACGCCTATAATCCCAGCACTTTGGGAGGTCAGGTGGGCAGATCATGAGGTCAGGCATTCGAGACCAGCCTGGCCAATGTGGTGAAACTCCATCTCTACTAAAAATACAAAAAATTAGCCAGGCATGATGGCAGGTGCCTGTAATCCCAGCTACCTGGAAGGCTGAGGCAGGAGAATCGTTTGAACCCGGGAGTCAGAGGTTGCAGTGAGCCAAGACTGCACCACTGCACTTTAGCCTGGGCAATAGAGTGAGAGACTATCTTAAAAAGACTGAAAGGAACTCCGGAATCAATGTGGGTTGTCTAGTATTGATGGTCTGCTGTTCATGTTTCAAGTTCTCTTTGCTGGGACATTCCATGTGCAGTGCCAGCACTCAGGTCTAGAAGCTCGTGGTCCTGTGGTGGGAGCTGAGTCACAGCTGTCTTACCATGTTTAAGGAGGAAGGAACCTTATAGATTACACACGGTGTTGTGGACGATTTCCATGTCTAGTTCATTCTTTCTTTTTGAGACAGAGTCTCACTCTGTCACCCAGGCTAGAGTGCAGTGGTATGATCTCAGCTCATTGTAATCTCTGCCTCCTGGGCTCAAGCAATTCTCCTGCACACAGCCTCCTGAGTAGCTGGGATTATAGGCATCCACCACCGTGCCTGGCTAATACATATGTGTGTGTGTGTGTGTGTGTGTGTGTGTGTGTGTGTATTTTATGTTTGTGCATGATGGAGTTTCACTCTTATCACCAAGGCTGGAGTACAGTGGCATGGTCTTGGCTCACTGCAAACTCTGCCTCACAGGTTCAAATGATTCTCCTGCCTCAGCCTCCTGAATAGCTGGGATTTCATGCGCCCGCCATCACACCCTGCTAATGTTTGTATTTTTAGTAGAGACGGGGTTTTGCCATGTTTGCCAGGCTGGTCTCAAACTCCTGACCTCAGGTGATCTGCCAGCCTCAACCTCCCAAAGTGCTGGAATTACAGGTGTGAGCCACTGCGCCTGGCCCAATTCATTCTTCAGGTCTTTATTAAAAATTTGTGTGTTAACTGACAAATACATAAAGTTTAGATTGTTTACCTGTATTTGTGTTTGTCGAGTTCCTTTGATCTCTGAACTCTCCATGTGCCCATCACCACTTCTATACCAAGAAGGATCAAGATCTTTGTGCCATGTAGGGATAATAAAAGTGACAGCTTTATGTTACGCATGTAAGAATAAAGAGTTTCCATTCCAGTGGTCTTTCTCTCAAGAAGGAAGGTGTTGGCTATTAAGAGCGAATGGCTGATGGTGGAGAACTGGACTGGGGTCTCTTATGGTGGCTCCAGCCGGCAGCTTCCACAGGCATCACAATCATCCAGGAAGTTCACTTTCCACAGAGTTAGATTCCCAACCTCACCCTTGGAGATGCAGTTATCAGTTCATGATGCAGCAGAGAAACAGCAGATCCTGTTGCGTAGCTCCGTGACAAGCATGCAGCTACCAGGGTTGCACAGCAGCCCAGTCTCCTCTTCCTGGTGACGGGGAGAGCAGGCGTGCTGCTGCGCCAGGCTCCTGTGGCCATCGTCCTCCCTCTGCCCCATGTCACTGCAGCCTTTCACCTCCCACGCTTCCTTATAAGGGAGGATCTTACTCATTGTCTTGGGTTCCCCCAAAGTGATGATGGTGATCATTTACAGGGTGTTTACTTCTGAGGGCTTTCCTTTTGTCATTTGTGGTAAATATGAATGCAGAAATTATTTTTTGACCACCTATTCTTGCTGTACTTAACACAATTCCATCTTTACCAGTGACTTAGAAATAGTTTTTAGGAAAAGGGAGGATTACATTTATAAATCAGCTTTTTATTTTTAGTTCATTTGTATTTTTAGTTTATTAGCTTTTAACCACTTTTGGGTCATGGTGCCCAAAATAACCTGGAAACTATTTTGTGTTTACAATTTTAGAGACAGTTCTTGGATCCCAGCTTAAAAACTCCTTTTTTATATTAACTGATTCATTGCATTGGAAAAGCATAAGAAAATGGTTTGCCTTAAAATGCTGTGTTTATTCCCAGACAAAGAATTTGCGTTGGTCAAATGTAATCATTTTGTATTTGCTAGAAAACATCTGTTATTTTTCTTTTTAGAACAGCAAAACAGTGCAGAACTGCAAACAAATCAGCTTTTAGCATCAACCACGTGTCAAGGGAGGTCACATCCTCTGGCGTCAGCCACAGCAGCACTGCCAGCCTGCAGGACACTGTGACTCGACGGCCTCCCGTACTGGACGAGTCTTGGATTCGTGAGCAGACCACAGTGGACCACTTCTGGGGTGAGTTCCTGGGAGATGCAGATCGCCCACCTACGGCTGGAGTGTTTCTCGGATTATGCTGAGAAGAGGGAGGCTGTGGCTAGGCCGTCTGTTTGCTGTGTGACTGGTTGGGAGAAGCACCAGTTAGGTTCCAGGCTTGTCCTCAGACTTGATCAGGACGCACCTTGGAAGTTGCTTCCATGTGCACCTTCTCAATTGGGTTATGCTAACATGATAACTCCCCATCATAATGACTAGTTATGATGGGGAGATGAAGCAGCAGATAGTCATCTGATGACTCCGTTTTTATAAATGAATTACTTTTGTAGGATGTTTGAACAAAGGCAGTGTAAAAACTTACCAGTGTGTTTTCAGTAAAGCTCTAAGCAGTGAGGCAGCCAGGGTTAGAGGGCTGGCAGAGAGCGTTGCAGGGTGAGGCATCAGCACTTGAACTGGGCTGACGTGGGGTCTGGGCAGTGGGAGCCACAGCCTGGCTGTTGAGTGTGGGGTCTCAAGGCTCTGCATAGGGAGGGAAGCTTGGTAAAGGGTGCCCAGCTGCTCGTCTACATTTGGTTTATCTTCTGGTTACCTTTTGAGACAATTAGAAGATCCAGATTAGTTCCAGAGATCATGTGTGCTAATTTTGGGAAGTGTTGGTATTCGTGTTTTTTCTGTTTTGCTCAGCTGGTAAGAGTGGTTACCAAGCAACAGAGAGGTATCTCCTGCTGCTGATGAGGCTTCTGCCTCCCTGAATGGGCTGTGAAGAGATGGCCTTTCCTCTCATTCTCCTTGGGTTCTGTTTACCTCCTTAGGCCAGATGGTGTGTGTGCTGTTGTCTGTCTCTATTTTCTCCAAAGATAAGCTTTCACCTTCAGTCAAAAGATAGTATCTTTGTATATCTGGAGGCATTTTAGGAAATAAACCATGATCAGTGTCACAATGCTGATTTTTTAACCATTGTAACCTTTACATTTTTTCTAGAATGGGTTTTGTTCTTATTTAAGTTGAGCTCAACAGCAAAAATACGTGATTTTTTTTTTTTTTTTTTTAGGTCTTGACGATGATGGTGATCTTAAAGGTAATTATTTTAGTCCTTTTACTTTCATACACATTTACAGAAGTTTTAGTTAAGTATCTGCAAGTCGTCATAAACAGGTTACATCTACTTTTTGAAAACTTTAGGTGGAAATAAAGCTGCCATTCAGGGAAACGGAGACCTGGCAGCAGCCGCCACCGCACACAACGGTTACACCTGCAGCGAATGCAGCATGCTCTCCGAGCGCAAGGACGCGCTCACGGCACACCCCGTAGCCCGTGGGCCCTTGTCAAGAGTTTATTCTAGGGGCAGGAATCAAAAACGTAAGTCTTACTCTTTTAAAACTCAGAAAAAGAGGTGTCCAAATATTAATATTTCCATTTTATGAGCCTTAGTGTCTGCACTATTTGTATTGGAGATTTAACTCAAAATTATCCTCTGAAAGCCTAAGAAGTACACCCCAAGTCAGCTTTGTCCTGCCTGTCCTCTCTCATCTTACATTTTATGTGGTCAATAATTTTGTATCTAAAGGTGTTTGAAATTTTATAAATTTGGACTTGATGTGAGCAAGAGAAAATTTCTATGTAAATGAAGCTAATAAAACTACAGTCACTTTTAGATGCACACCTTTATTTTTATGAGACAGCACAGATGCTTGCATGTACTTAAGGAATGGCTTTGGGACGTTACTACGGTCTGTCCTGTGAAGTGTTTATGCCAGCATTCGTGTCAGGAAAACATTTCCTGTGGTTGTTAGCCTGTGGTTATGGTGATGGAGGGGCCTTTGGAGAACACACGGGTTTGGGAAGGACACATGGGGTTCTGGTTTGTTCCAGGACAGCAGGAGTCATTGCAGGGAACCCCCTGACGTGGGCAGTCACTGCTGGGGCATGCTCCCAGGTAAGCAGGTGAAGACAGCACCTTTCCAGCTTCCAGGGGCTGCGATGCCCGGGGGGTTGGGACTCTGCCCTCATGGCTGCCTGGCCCGGGATCTCTCTCACCTGTGGCAGGAAAAGGCTGGGGCCCTTGGCTGGCCCAGGTGCTGCCTCGTTCTCAAGCCCTTGGCATCTTGTCTTTCAAGCCCACGTCCTGCTGTGCTTGGAGGTGCTGGAAGCCTCAGGAGGGCAGGCCAGATCTGTCTTATCAACTCTTGAGCCTGGCTATGCTGGGGACATGGGGCGTTTGTCCAGTATTATTCAAGTAACTGAACGTAATGAAGGAGGGCAACAGGATGAAGGCCTCCACCCTTTCTGAGATTTCTAGCATCTTATTTTTACCATTTGTTTTCATGGCCCTCACTTGTGGCTATGTCTGCTGTGGTGTTATGGACACTGCTAGTGCTAATACAGCATAGTAAGAAGGTATGAAAGGGAAGGGAAAGGGCAGGAGTAAGGCTGCACAGGGGCTTCCCTCACTGAGCACGGTGCTTGCTTGGGTTCTTCTACGTATACCAGCACTGCTGAGTGCCCACTCTGTACCAGGCACTGCTCATGTATGATCATGGCAGCCCCCTTTTTGCAGACAAGCAAACTGGGGCTTAGCCAGCTCAGGAGGCTCACAGGCAGGTGTGGGGCCTAGAGCTGAACCCAGGCATCTGATGTAGGTGCTCCCCTGAGCTGCCTGCCTCCCTGAGCACTTGGTACCCTAGGGCTCTGCACAGTGCTGCATGTGAGGCCTCACGTAGTTCATGCGATGTGCACAAAGATTTTGTGTATTCAGGGTTTAATGAGGCTATGTTTTGAAGCATGCCATTGATGGGCTGAACATAACATTTTTCTTAGAATAAAAGCACATTCTATAAACTGTACGATGGCAGAATAAGGAGGATCACAGATAATTGAGAGAACCTACAGAAACATGCTATTTTCCAAAGGCCTTTGCACGCATGTTGTAGTAAATGTGTCTCTTGATGACTGGCTGGCAGTATGCTGGCGGTCAGTGCCCAAGCTTAGCCGTGCAGTTGAGTGTATCTTTAGATGGAAAAGGCATTGGTGTGGTGTGGGTTGTAGCTTTCCAAAACTCATGGCACATCCCAGGGGATGTTGGTCTTGGGTGTTTGGGGGTAGAAGACAAGCCTCTCTAGGCTTCACATCTGCTTGGCCTCTCAGACGAGGGCCAGGACTTGTGCAGCCTACACTAGTGTATCGCCCTGTATTAGAGTAAACACGTTTATCAAAGAACATTGGAAAATCAGAGAGACACAAAAAGAAAATGAAAATCACCTACAAGGTGCCACAACAGGAAAAAAACACACTTCCAGAGATTTACCCTCTACGTTCTTACAGTCAGATTGTGTAAATTGTTTGTATAATCATGCTTGCTTAAAATAATTATGGCTTTCCTAAAGTATAAATTTTCCCTCCACATTTTCTTAATTTTGTTTTTATGTATGTACTGATTGTAACACTCACTGTAAAATTTTTCAGTAGTATAGATAAAATAAATCCTTTCCCCACACCCAATCCATCTCCTCCTCAGGGAACCATTGCTAATGATAGCTGAGTGGGAATTCTTACACTTTGTGAAATTAGGTAAAATTCAAATAACATGAAATTAACCATTAACAATTTTAAAGTGTGTGACTCAGCAGCATTCAGCCTTCCGCCAGTGCTGCGTGCTGTCTGGAGTTCTTTATGCACCTGCAGGACTATGTGGTTTTGGCTCTGTCTTTCCTTAAAATGCCATCACGGTGTATGCACAGTCTAGCATCTCTTTTCATTTTATATGTTAATTGAGATTGACTTTATTCTTTTTGATGCCTGTACAGTTTTTAAAAATTTTGAGATGGAGTCTTGCTCTGTTGTCCAGGCTGGAGTGCAGTGGCACGATCTCAGTTCACTGTAACCTCCGCCTCCTGGGTTCAAGCAATTCTCCTGCCTTGGCCTCCCAAGTAGCTGGGACTACAGAGTTGCACCACCACACCCAGCTAATTTTTGTATTTTCAGTAGAGATGGTATTTCACCATGTTGGCCAGGCTGGTCTCAAACTCCTGACTTACCTCAAGTGATAACGCCCACCTTGGCCTCCCAAAGTGCTGAAATTAACGGGCATGAACCACTGTGCTGGCTGCCTATACAGTATTGCTTATGGCTCTAGCAAATTTTAGGTTCTAAGTGAGCATGCAGACTTTTTATATGTGTACACCATTAAAAACGTTGTTTCTTTGGATGTTTCCCTGTATATATGTCTTTGTGAACAGTGCAAGCTTTTCTCCAGAGTAGACAAGCTAGAGGGAGAATTGGCCTTGTCCACTTAATGATGTGCCCCTTCACTCGCCGTCCTCCACAGCTGGCCCTCGTGGATGTCTCCTGTAGTAGGATGCAGGTCCCCTTCTGGCCAATTCTTCATAATTTTTGCTCTTTTAAAACGTTCCATGACATTTCAATGTTTGTTTGAGATGGGGTCTTGCTCTGTCACCCAGACTGGAGAGCAGTGGTGTGATCACAGCTCACTGAGGCCTCAGACTCCTGGTCTCAAGTGATCCTCCCACCTCAGCCTGCCTATTAGCTACTACCCCCAGCTATTTTTTGTTTTTTGTAGAGATGGGGTTCTGCCATGTTGCCCGGGTTGGCCTCAAACTCCTGGGTTCAAGTGATCTACCTGCCTTGGCCTCCCAAAGTGCTGAGATTACAGGCATGAGCCACCTCACCCAGCCAAACTTCAGGATTTTTATTATGAGTGAGACTGACCATGGATTCCCTCTTAATAACATGACTGGCTGTTGCCGACAGCCTCTCTCAAGTTGGTGCTAGAGTGTGAACTAAGCTGGCACCGTGCCCACTGCTTAGGCTTATGTTTTCTTAGTATAGGGTCCAGTTCACAAGTAGCTTCTCACTATTGTTTTGAAAATAATAAAGCTCGTGGCCAGGTGCGGTGGCTCAAGCCTGTAATCCCAGTACTTTGGGAGACCAAGGCGGGTGGATCACGAGGTCAAGAGATCGAGACTATCTTGGTCAACATGGTGAAACCCCGTCTCTACTAAAAGTACAAAAAATTAGCTGGGCACAGTGGTGCATGCCTGTAATCCCAGCTACTCAGGAGGCTGAGGCAGGAGAATTGCCTGAACCCAGGAGGCGGAGGTTGCAGTGAGCCGAGATCGCGCCATTGCACTCCAGCCTGGGTAACAAGAGCGAAACTCTGTCTCAAAAAAAAAAAAAGAAAGAAAATAATAAAGCTCTAATTTTTTTATTTCTTTAAAGTCACTGTAACTTGAGCTTCACCATTTCCAGCTGGCCTTATGCCACAGATCTTTTTCTTTCCTTTTTTTTTTTTTTTTAGACAGGGTCTTACTCTGTTGCTCAGGCTGGAGTGCAGTGGTATGAACACAGCTCACTGCAACCCCTGCCTTCCAGGCTCAAGCAATCCTCCTGCCTCAGCTCCCCAGTAGCTGGGACTACAGGCGTGCGCTGCCACATCTGGCTAATTCTTATATTCTTTGTAGAGACGGTTTCACCACATTGCCCAGGCTGGTCTCCAACTCCTGGGCTCAAGTGATCTGCTCACCTCGGCCTCCCAAAGTGTTGGGATTATAGGCATGAGCCACCACACCTTACCACTTGCCACAGAAGATTTTTTTTGTTTTTTTTTTTGAGACGGAGTCTCACTCTGTTGCCAGGCTGGAGTGCAGTGGTGTGATCTCGGCTCTCTACAACCTCCAACTCCCTAGTTCAAGTTATTCTCCTGGCTCAGCCTCCCAAATAGCTGGGATTATAGGCACATGCCACCATGCCCAGCTAATTTTTTTGGTATTTTTAGTAGAGATGGGGTTTCATCATGTTGGCCAGGATGGTCTAAATCTCCTGACCTCGTCATCCGCCCACCTTGGCCTCTCAAAGTGCTGGGATTACAGGTGTGAGCTGCCGCGCCCAGCCTGAACAGATCTTTAAGTCACCAAGTCTTGCTAGGTTGGGAGTGTGAGGAGAGTAGCCTCATCGGAAGCACTTCATCAGGCAGACAGCTGAACCTGTTAAATTTGTGGAATATCATCCCACACATTTAGATTAGCAGAAAAAAACATCAGGGATCACATTGTATCATTTTTACATTGTGTCTTTTTTTTTTCCTCTTTAAGATGGAGTTCTTCACCCAGGCTGGAGTGCAGTGGCACGATCTTGGCTCACTAGAACCTCCACCTTCTGGTGTCAAGTGATTCTCCTGCCTCAGCCTCCCAAATAGCTGGGATTACAGGCACATACCACCACACCCGGCTAATTTTTGCATTTTTAGTAGAGATGGGATTTCACCATGTTGGCCAGGCTGGTCTCAAACTCATGACCTCATGATTCACCCGCCTCAGCCTCCCAAAGTGCAGGGATTACAGTCATGAACCACACGCCTGGCCCAACACATTGTGTTTTCTAAAGTGAGAGGTGGCATGTGCCTGTAGTCCTAGCTACTTGGGAGGTTGAGGCAGGCAGGTTACTTGAGCCCAGGAGGTCGAGGCTGCACTGAGCTGAGATCATACCACTGTACTCCAGCCTGGGCAACAGAGCAAGATCCTGTCTCAAATAAATAGGTTGGGTACTTACTCATACCTGTAATCCCAGATGTTTGGGAGGCAGAGGTGGGAGGATCACATGAGGTCTGGAGTTTGAGACCAGCCTGGGCAACATATGAAGACCCCATATCTACAAAAGCAAAAACAAATTAGCTGGGTATGGTGACATGTGCCGTACTCCCAGCTACTCAGAAGGCTGAGGTGGGAGGATCGCATGAACTCAGGAAGTTTGAGACCAGCCTGGGCAATGCAGTGAGACCTCGTCTCAACGAAAAATACAAAACATCAGCTGGGCTTGGTGGCAAGCATCTGTAATCCCAACTACTTGAGGAGGCTGAGGTAGGAGGATCACTTAGGCCCAGAGTTCAAGGCTGCAGTGAGCTATGATCATGCCACTACTAGGCAACAGAGTGAGACCCTGTCCCTACAAAAATTAAAAATAAAAATAATAAACAGCAAAGGCGGTGATTCTAGAGGTGATTCTGGTGCTCCAGTGTACCCATTCTCAAACTGGTGGGTTAGAGGCCATGAAACAAATGACTGTCAGTATCTGAATGTCGTGGTGTGTGCATAAATGGCATTGGAGTGAAGCAGCCGCAGTTCGGGTACCCTGTAGACAATTGCTAGTGAGTCAGTGCTTTGTAAATTATTGCTAGTGCGTCAGTGGAGCTGGCAGCCTCCCCCTGGGGGGTTACTTCGAGTGTCCCCTCCAGGGTCTACTGTCCACTGCCAGTTGGGCTCTTCCTGAGTGTCTTTGGTGTCCATTCTAAAAGTGCTTTGCCTGAAATGAATAATTTGGATATCTGACTTATCAGGAAGTAAATGTTGGCTTTATGGGAAGAAATAATGCATGTTCATGGTTTTTTAATAGGCGGTGCATCTTTGTACATGAATAGGATTTTGTGGCTGGCCAGATACACTGCGTCATCTTTTTCATCATTTTTAGTTCAACTTTTTCAAGTTGTTTTAATGAAGCTCAATTATGAATCAGAATTTTACAAATTGAAAAGTTATGAATCAAAAGATTGTGACTCTGAAAGCTATAAGTCAAAAAGCCATGAATCAAAAGGTATTTAAATATTTTTTTCCCTCCTTTTTCCACCACATCATGCTTTCGAGGTGGAGAAAGCATTGTGCTTTTCCTTGCACGGCACCTCCCTCGCTGCCACCTCTTACAGTCTTGGTGCTGGCTCTTCCTGCTTCCACTCTTCCTGCTTCCACTCTGGATCTTGCATCTCAGGAGCTTGTGGAACTTTTAATTTGTTTTGTGTGTCGTTCATTTCTCTGAAAGCTGATCAGTGTTGAAACATCTTTAAAGTTATTTCTTAAATGAAAATTTACTGTGCTAAACTTATGATTTTTTATTACCTTTTTAAGGCAAAAACATGAATGCTATTTAGAATCTAGTTTTACAAAACTATTTTATGCAGGCTAATCTTTGTGTTGTTTGGGCCACACACGTGATTCAGCCAGAGGGTGGGGGGTTCTTTCACGTCTCTTCTCATGGCCCGAGCCCTGTCACCTGCATTCACCTGTGTGGTAGGAGCCATCGGCTGTCTGAACTCTGTGGAAGTGGCTAGCCTAGCACATTCTCTGATCATGTTGACTTCATCGGGGTGCGAGAAGCACTTGACTCGGTGCTGGTGAGTTTTCTAAGCCTCTTTTGCGTGTGTTGCAGCTCATGCCAGTTACTGTGGGAGAGTGAATGTGAGAGAGTCTCTCAGAGAGGATGGCCACCTCAGTGTAAATGGGGAAGCACTGTGTAAGTATGGCTTTGTTTTCCTGTGGGCGTCGGTCATGGAGTTGGTCCCACACGCTGTCGTGTTGGGCAGTAGCAGTAGAGAATGAACAGCCCATGTGACATGGTTGTCCTCACTGATGACGACAGGCTGGTGAAGCTGCTGCTTAAGCCTTTGTCACAGAAGCTCAGCCACCAGATTGCATTTGCTTTGATTGTTAACTGTCTTGTGTGTAATTGAGTTTCCTAGTTTTTTCAGACTGCTGTTGCTATGCACAGTTGAGAAGGACACAGTTTGCTTGTGAATCCACCACATTCACTGCTTGTCACCACACCCACAGGCGATGACTGTAAGGGCAAGACGCACCTCGACGCACACACAGCCGCCCACCTGCAGTCGCCAAGGCCGTCCAGGCAGGCAGGGATCCTCCGGCACATCTGGGCATGCGCAGGTCGTTCCTCACCCCATATCTGTCTCATCCCGCCCTGTTACCATGCTGCTTGTGCCTTGTTTGGTTTGTGCTTGGCATTCAAGTGCTTTAAAGCCTTGCTGTAAAAACTGATAGGAATAGTATTAACTTTAGTTTAAAACAGGGTGAATCTCTCTCAATAAGCTTCCTTGTAAATTTTTTTTCTTTTGGAGTTGGAGTCTCACTCTGTCGCCCAGGCTGGAGTGCAGTGGCCCAATCTTGGCTCACTACAGCCTCCACTTCGCTGGTTCAAGTGATTTTCCTGCCTCAGCCTCCTGAGTAGAGGAGTATTTTTGTATTTTTAGTAGAGACAGGATTTCACCATGTTGGCCAGGCTGGTCTTAAACTCCTGATCTCAGGTGATCTGCCCGCCTCGACCTCCCAAAGTTCTGTGATTATAGGTATGAGCGACCATGCCTGGCCTCCTTGTAAATTTACTTAGTATGAATTAAATGTTTGAAAAGAATTTATGTGAGATTAAAAGTCGAGGAAAAGCGAGTCTCTGCTCACTCTCCTGTGTAGGAACTGAGGCTTGCAGCAGCTGTATCTCTGCCTTGTGCTGTGTTAGTGGTTGCTGTCTGTGTCCCTGATGTTTACATGAGCACATTATATGTTTCCAATCTACACTTGAAACTTTCTTGGCAGAGAGACATCCTCTTTAGGCATCTTTAAAAAAAAAATTAGTTTCAAAAATAATTGTCTCACCTGCTAATTAATAAACATAAAACAATTGATTTTTCTTTTAAATCCTCATAAGCCATATTTCTTTGCATGTTGACCATGTTGTAATTACATAGTTGCAGGAATTAATAGGCAGACGTTAAGTCAGTCTGAGGATAGAACTACCTACAATGAGAACTGGAACAAAACTTACTTTGGGAGGCCGAGGCAGGTAGATCACTTGAGACTAAGAGTTCAAGACCAGCCTGGCCAACATAGCAAAACCCTGTGTCTAAAAATAAAAATCTGGAACAAAATTGATTTCATGAGCAGTTTCCTGCCTTATGTGATGTGTGGTTTGATACTAAGTTTATTGTGGTACATTTCATAATCTGGTAGTGCCGTGTTACCATTCTGAAACACTTTTTTACTAGAAAATATTAGCCTTTAGAATAATTTTAATTTTGGTCTTTGAGTAATTATTTTCTCACTTAGAGCATGTGAGCTGCAGGTGTCTATGAAATTTCAATCTGCTTTAAAATATGGTATTATCTTTCCAATGTAAATTGTGCCGGCACCAATGGCCAACATTTAAAGAGTGGCTTCCAACCACCGCTTCCTGGGGTTTTGTAGGGGTATCTGCATTTTACATCTTAAGTATCTTCAGGCAGAAGTAAATGAAAACTATTAAAAAATAGAACTGGCCAGGCGCAGTGGTTCACACCTGTAATCCCACCGCTTTGGGAAGCCAAGGTGGGCGGATCATGAGGTCAAGAGATTGAGACCAACCTGGTCAACTTGGTGAAACCCCATCTCTACTAAAAATACAAAAATTAGCTGGACGTGGTGGCACATGCCTGTAGTCCTAGCTACTCGGGAGGCTGAGGCAGGAGAATTGCTTGAACCTGGGAGGTGGAGGTTTCGGTGAGCCAAGATTGCACCATTGCACTCCTCCAGCCTGGGTAACAAGAGAAAAACTCAGTCTCAAAAAAAAAAAGAACTGAGCTTTTCGATGGTAATGTCAGTGCAATATTGTCAACACTTATAAGAATTTTTTGGGTTTTTTTTTTTTGTATTTTTTGAGGAGACTCTGGACACACTGACGTGGGCTTTGGTGAAGTGTCTGGTGTGTGCATCCTGGCCGTGCTGTCAGGGCAGAGGCTGGGTCTCTGGCATCGGCCTTAGCGCCCACAGACATCTTCTCTGCACAGGTTACTTCTTGCTGCAGACTCTTCACAGGATCGGAGCCGCGGGGTGGGCTGTGTCCAGGATGGTGTGGTCGGCCCTTTGGCTGGCTGTGATTGCTCCAGGTGGCTATTTTGGGTTTCTGTGTTGTGTTCTCTCCAGAGCTTCTGGAAGCTAAGCACCTGCACGCGATGATTTACCTAACCAAGTAAAAATCTCATCTAGGTTCTCATGCTTTGACCCTTAGCGTAACGTAGCTTTTTCTTCATAAGTTAGCAATGTTAACTTACTGTACTTGTTGCATGAGTGTACTTCGTTTCTCTGGAGTTGGGTCTGGGGCAAATCTGGCTGTTTGAGTACACTGTGCAGAGAATGCATGGATCTGGGGCTTCCTGTCTTGTGTATCTATCAGCATGATCCATTACTACCTTGCTTCCTGCCATGGTGATAAGCATCATCAACTTCTTCACCTCCAGCTTCATCTTCATGTGCTTCTAGCTTGGCCTTCTCAGAAACAGTCTATTTAGGAGCTTGGTTTTCCTAAGAACATTTCCTTAGAACCTTTGGTGTTTTCTATTGTAGGGAAGGCAGCCTCTGGAGTGTTCTGGTGGCTGGGGATTGGATGGTACCAGTTTGTTACTTTGATTTCTTGGCTGAATGTGTTTCTTCTTACCAGGTAAGGAAATGGATATCACGTCAGGTTGGTGTTTTAAAGAACCAATTTTGTGCCGATTGCAGGCTCTTATTTGACTTGTTATTTTATAAGGATTTTGCTTATATTCACATAGTGTTTGTATATTTTACAAAAGTGCTTTTATATTCTTAGTTTTTCAAACCAACCTATGAGATAAGAAAGGCGGGTATCATTAGGAAAAACAGGTGTGCAGAGGTGAGGTAGCTGGAAGGGCCCAGGCAGGATGGGGAACCAGGTCCGGGCTCCTGCCCTGCTGCAGTTCCCAGGGGTATCAGGCCCCTCAGTATGCCAGTGATCCACAGGGGTAGCGACTCAGGATAGCTCAGATCTTTCAGTCCGTGCCGGAGAGTTGATAAGCATGTGCTTGGAAACACAGGCCTCAAGGACGCCATTTTATACACAGTTCTCCTGTAGGCATCACAAGCCTTGTAGATAAAACCTTAACTGCTTTTCTAATATTGGTGGGGTGGATTTTGTACAAAATTATCTAGAGGGGGAAAGCAGATTGGTGAACCCTGACTGAAACTTTTTCCAAGCTAAAGGTTTTTATTTTTAATCCCAGGTGCCTTCGAAATATCTGCAAGTTTTTAGTCTTCCTCATCCCGCTCTTCCTTTTACTAGGTAAGTTGTATCTGGCTTAGTTGCCTCCTATGGCCAAGCTATACACATATGTGTGAATTAGCGGGAAAAATGAGCATGTAAGTCTATGTTTTGAGAAGTGTGATGTACCCATGTGTGGTGGTTTTTCTCTTTTAGCAGGTCTCTCCTTACGGGGCCAGGATGATTTTTTTTCATTTTTGCCTGTGTGGAACTGGGTAAGCCTGCATAGAACACAGCAGGTGGATGACCCCAAGGACATACTTAAACCTGCGACTTCTCACCTGAACCAGCCTCTACAGGTAAGAGGGTAGAAAGGCCTCTCAACTGATACTACCCATGTGTGGTCTTTGGGAATGCTTCCACACTGCAGGTGAGAGGGTAGCAAGGTCTATAAGCGGGCACTGCCCATGTGTGGTCTTCGGGGACGCTTCCACACTGCTGTGATCCGGGCACTTCAGGCGGGTGCCCTGTGTTAGGAAATATTTTTAAATATCAGATAAGCGAGTCTTTGGAGCTCC